ACTGTGATTTGTCAAATTGTCATATCTGTCAACAAGTAGAAAAAGACAAGTGTCACTTTGTCCCTCTCCAGCATAAACAGTATAAAAATCACACAACCTTAGGACACTTTTGGTTGCACAGGATCTCTGAAGTTCATCTGCTTCAGCCTCAAGTGTGTTTTGTAAAAGAGTCAATCTCTGCCTGCTCCCTTTCCAGCACAGCAGCCCTTTGCTGAGCTTAATCCACTTTGTTAATGTCTTTCTTGCACTGAGTACTCTAAAATGGACACAGCAGTCCCAAAATAATTTCAGAATTGCTGTTAAATGGGTTTAATCACTATTTTCAGCACCTGCACTGTGCAGTGGCCAATGCAGCGCAGCCCATGGTCACCCCACACTCTTGCAAGAGACCACTGATGACACCCATGAAATTTCTCATAAAATCATTTACATTGGAAAAGACCTCTCAGAGCACCTCTGCCCMTGGTGGGAGGGTTGGAAGAAATGATCCCTAAGGTCCCTTCCAACCCAAACYRTTCTATGACCATCATGTCCAACTCCTAATGTGTTTTTTAGAGCTGCTCCCTGGACAATCAGTGCCTCCCAATTGTCTTCTCTCAGAATCTTTTCTGTCAAATCACCTCTCCAATTTTTTGAGATGAATGTGAATGACAGCCTTTTTATCCAGCATAGGGTCTGCTCCCTGCAATTTGCTGTCAACCCCAGACTTGCTGAAGCTATGTTCCTCCCCACACAACCACAAACCATTAAACCATCCACACAATTTTGTATCATGTATTAAATTATCAATTTAATATCATCTGGCAGAGCCAAAGTGCTGCTTTCCCAGGTGTTGGAAAGCAAAGGTCTGTTCTGAAGGCACAACGTGAGGACTCAGGGTGGAGCTGAGTGAGGAGGGGAAACCTCAATTTAAATAGAAAAATGGCAACATTTGATACAAAAGCAGAAAACAACAGCTGCCCTGGTCAGCAATAACTGGAGATTGAATGTGCACAAAAATTCCCTTCTGCCCTTCTGCTCTGGCAGTGTTTCCATCCACCCCTTCTCACCCCATGCACCCGGAAATGCCAAAACAAAYACATGTTTAAATGTCAGTGCACACAGTAATCTTTTAATCTATACCCAATATTTATTAAAGCATAAATTACAGGGAAAATCCTTTTCTTCTTCTTTGACTTTACACTATGGGGCCAATGTAAAGACACCACAGCACAAACAGGAATTTGGTCCAAGACTTTTTAAAAACCATGGAAAAATCAATGGACAAGATTCCATCTTGGTTGCAACAATTTCAGTCTGAAGGCATTGTCACATAACAATAATAATAAAAAACTCAGTACCCAGCTGAGTTTATTTGYCTTGCTGGAGATTGGGATCAAATGTTATTACAACTGGATGTGTCAATCATTAGCAGAGGGCTTTGTACCTGGCTTTCCCAATGACTGCAAATTTCACATTTAAGGTGTAAAACATCCAAAAATGGTTTCRGAAAATTACATCTCTTACAGTACCAGAGGTGAGAGGAAATTAAAGTGGAATACAAGCAAACAACCTCCTTTTTGGATGAATTTGTGCTTGAAAAATGCGCTGTTTTCCTGGTCATTATATCTGAATTTTGTAATACCTGTGACGTTGAATCACCTTGCCCTATCAGGAAACAGGAGAGCTATAAATCACCCTCCAGTGAAGAATTCCTGCCAATTCYACAACTACCTGAAGAAGGACAGAAGAAACTTCTAATCTTCCTGGAAATAGAAGGTAGGATTTGCCTTGATTCATTTTTCTTAAAATATTGTGATTTTTTTCATGTATTAAAATATAATCTGTCATCAGAAGACTTGTTTAAAAAWTTAGGATAGTCAGAGAAGATGATTTTATTGAGTGAAAAATAAGGATTATGTAGCCAAAGGTGTAAAACAARCTGAAACTAAAAGGGAGAGAAAATTGACAATAACAATAAAACAGTAGAACAATAAAACAATAAAAAAATAGATGAAAAAAAACCTGTACCAAGAAAACAGCATCTTGRTAAAWTRTATGTAYACAGAGAAAGGGACAGAGAGACAGTAAAACTTCTTGAATAGGGTTTATATTCAGCTCAGTAAATTCTATTGGTACATGTTACCATCCCCACCTATTTTCAGAGTGAGGAAATTACCCCTTTGTTTAATTGACCCTTCTGCAAAGTGGCTAAGTAGGATTTTGTGCAATAATGYTCTACAAGTGCAATGACAGAGACATTATTCTATTTCAGGTCTTTTTCATGCATAATAAAAAATAATGGGGATGTTCTTTTGTAAKGGTTATTCARTTARATGAATCATTTAAAAKACACTTTTTTTTTTYTTTTTTYTTTTTTTTTTTTAAGAAGGAGAGACGGGAAAAACATATTCACATGAGTTTGCCAAACTCATACAAACTAGGGATGCTAAAGCACCATCTTTCAGTGGCAGATCCCGGTATACAGATGGATTTGCAGGAAAGTCAGTAAGACTTGGCACAYGTCCTGATTTATGTTTGATTGAGGGGGAGCAGGGGAGGGGGAGAGAGAGACTGATTTTAGGACCAGTGCCTAGAAATTAATGCAGAGCAATTAAATTTACATCTCATAAACTGTAAGCATTTGGTTGAAATCGGTGGGATTGCCAAAAGTATGTTAATATCTTGGAGCGGRAAACCCACTGGGTCTTAAAAAGCATTCCAATGGCATTTCAAAACTTGTATCATGTATTAAATTATCAATTATATTTTACTGTAAGTTAATTCATAGAAAATATTACAGTGAATGAATGCTTTGCCCATGTCTCTAAGTTAGCTTTTTCAGCTTGGTTTGCAAAATAGAGTGCTTCAGTATTTCAGTGAGGAGTTATTTTTCCTTTAAAATGTGCTTTACATGCAAAATGGGGGRTTTTCTATTTGCATCTTATCATATTTTGTACTCAAAAGACATATTTTTGCTCATAACTTGAGTACAGCTAAAAATAACCCCCACTTCTATTTACTTTCTAGTTAGAAATTAAGTGAAGCCCATATTTTTTTCATTATATGGGGAGTATAAAATTTTGTTGCTAAACACCTAGGTCAGATAAAGTGCAAATTTTTGTAATGGCACTGAGAAGTAAGCATTAGAAAATTGAATAAGAAAAAAAATTCAGTGATTGTAAAGGAGGCAAAGATGATGTCAAAATTAAAACAGGGGACAGAAMGCAACACCAAGAGCAGGAGATCAATGACTTTTTTTTTTTTTGTTAAGTATCAGTACTTTTGCCCTTGGATCAACCAGATCTTCCCTCAACCGAAAGTGCTCGGAATAAGCCACCCTGTTTTGAAGGCTGTGAGAGTTTAATTGGGCAGATGTGACGAGCCTTTCCAGTTTTTTGGCTTCTGAGCCACAGCTGCCCAGAGCCACAGTCCATGGGTTGTTCAGCAGAGCTGGGGCAGCATCCCTGGGCACTGTGGGTCACCCCAGGGCAAGGGAAGAAAGCTGCTGAAGAACCAGGGCCGTGCTGGACCACCTGGAAAAGGGCATTTTTTCCTAACCACACGTTCTCTGTGAGCATCAGGGCTCTCCAGAGCACCTTGTGTTTTATATCAACTGGTTGCCTCGAGGTAAAGGGGCTTTGCTGAATGTGAAAGGATCAGCAAACCCTCCTGGCCTCTCCCCAAGAATAATTCAAAACTAAAACCAGCAGCCCCTCAAAACCAAACAAGTTAAGCTAATAATATACCTCTGTGGTRAACATGCCTGTGAATTCCCTCAGAGTGGGAGGCTGGGAAAATTGCCAGAACAAGTAAATTCCACTGCAGTCACCTGCTGGCCTGCCCATGAGCTGAGCAGGAACAAGCTGAACGTAACTCGTGCGACTGATCGCAGGTTCCTGAACTTTGCAGYGACCTCCTGGGTCACTGGGGCACTGCTCAGAGCCTCCCAGGAAAGTGCAGTCCTGGAGCCCAGGGTCTGGTGGATGCTTCTTCAATTAGAATTAGATATTTGTAGAATAACCTGAGCTGGATGGGACCCACAAGGATGATCAAAGTCACACTCYTGGCCCTGCACAGGAAACACCAAGAATGTCAGCCTTAGAGAAGGCTCTCATTTTCATGTTGTCATTCCTGTAATGGTAATGACCTGTGATGGTAATGACCTGTAGTAT